TTTTTTTTCGCAGATATAACGACAGGACCGACCAGTAGCAAATTCCGAAAATTCAATCTAATCTAACGTAAAACTCAATATTTTGACAGCTTTTATTTAAAATTGTTCTTACGTAAAAGTTGAAGCTAGCGGCAAAATCTTAATACCCTCAGATTGTTATTAAGCAAAGAGAAATGCATAAGATTAGTGTTCTAAGTCCTATTTAATCTTTTTAAATTTATCTTATTTTGTACGTGTGAACTCTAATTTCCTTTGTTGTGAGATGAAGGCGTTTGAAACCTGTCTTTCGTAAAAATAAAAATAAAAGTTAGAAAAGGTTACGATATTTCAAAATGTACTGAGTGTCGTACGACCTGTTGCCATGGTAGATAATTGGTGAACTCATCTTTCTTTAGAATAAAAGAAAAGCATAGCCAACAAACATCCCAGAGTTCTACAAAGAACTCAAAAGATTCAGCAAATATCAGTTCTTTCAAATTCGGCATTCACTAAGGCTACAATGAGGTATAGACTCAAACTCCATATCCCCATCCATAAAGTAACCTTTTTAGGCAGGACTCATATTATCACTGGCAGTCGGAGCCCTGAACGCTCACTCTTTGATAAAGATTGTGCGCTGTTCTCAGCACCTCTGCAAAAAGTGAGCTTCATCCTCAAAGCGTTTTATATCAGACGCATGTCTGTATAACATCTTGCTGATCACTGATAGTCTCTTTCAGGAGGAAGTTGAAAAGAAACGGAACTTTAGCAACTGTTGAGCCAGCGGACGCTAATTTGGCAAAGGAAATCACGGTAATTTTCTCCTATTTGTGAATCAAAATTTTATTGTTTGTGGATTAGGTTGATCGCAAAAGCACGTTACAGACATATGCTGTTGACAAAACTGAAGGAAAAGAGGAGACTGAAGAACAGTTTGTTACCACGTACTTTGTAGGCGTAGCTAGTTGGAGTTCTTGAATCCCAAACTGCTAAGTATTGTTACTTTTTGTCTAATTCAATTCAGACGCTTAGCATTGGACTATGGTGACATGGCAGAGGAAGCGTTCGTGACCAGGCGTGCTGCTCCGTTAAAGTTATTAGGAAAACCCGCTAAGTATGTCTTCTTTCACATTCGAAATAAAATCCTTATTGAGGTTAACGGATGTGTTTCGGCCAAATTTTGAAAACAAAATCTAGCTGTTTCACTTTGAAGAGTACGAGGGAGATAGGAGAAGAGGAGGGAGGAGGTGCGGCATAAGGCAAAATTATGTGAAGGCAACACCGTGATTTCCTCTTTGACAAATCCTAAGCCGCAGTTTTTCGGAACATTTTGACTTACACAAAACGCAATGAAGACACTCTAATCACGCTCCTTTTGTATGCTTATTATCCACTTCCTGTTCACTACAGTAAAAGGTTGAAGCCGATGTTCACTGAAGAGACATATGTAAATTTTTAGCTTAAAGGGAAGAATGAAGGAAAAAGAAAAAATATCAAGTTCTTAAGGAACATTTTATTAAACCTGACTGCTAATTTCACTGGTTGCCGTTTGGCACCTT